TATAACACACATCAGCATCCGCCCCTGAGACCCCTATCCTCTTAGCAACGTCCGCGGCCTACCCCCACCAACCATCACTTCTCCAGAATCAATGGGAGGCGGGGCTAGGGCTCGGATTTCGCCATGTGCTCGGCGAATTTCGAACCCTACCCCAGCCGCCCATCGATGTTGCCTGAATCGTTGATCGACGAGAGTATTCGGATTTCGCCGCCAGCAAATCGCCATCCTACACAGCGATCGACGATTTGACCATTCACCTGCTCGAGCCCCAGCGCCACGGGAGGGCCAAAGTAGGGAAACGGATGAAGATCTGGCCTCCAGGGTCAGACCTTGGCGTCCAGGGTTGGAGGCAACGGTAGGGGTAGCGCCGATCCCAGACCCGCGACGCCATGATTTTTAAATGACGTCGACCCCAGAGGTCTGGACCCGTTCCCCGGGACCAGCTTTCCATCCCGAGTCGCTTCTTGACGGCCCCGAGGCCCGGCCAGGGCCCCCGGGGGGCCACGGGAGGCTCCCCAGGGAGGCCCGCAAAGAATTCCGCCCTGTGAGGACTGCCCCCCTCGGCCGCCGCCGCCCTCCGAGCGGCGCAGCCGCCGTGCCCCCCCCCCCCCCCCAGCGCTCCAGAGGCGCGGTGTCGCAGGGAGGCGGGGCCAAGGGCCCTGGCCGCGTTCTTTCATGGGACGCACACATAGTAGCAGTACGTTGGGGCGACGCCCATCTCATTCGGCGGCGAGCCCCGGGAGGGGGGGAAGTCCCCGTCTGGGGACCAGGCGGCAGAAGCAGCTGTCATCCAGTACGGGTATGTTTTGGCAGAATTGGATGGAGCCGCCGTGGAGGATCTACGATCCATCACATCGAGACAGACACGTGTTATACGGATGTTTGCTCGGAGGCACTTGCGAGCAGCGGAACACCTTCGGTGACCGGCCGCGTTCCCCGCCCAGGAGGAAAGTCTCCGTCTGGAGACCAGGCGGTAACCGGTAGAAGCAACAGTCGCCCAACACGGAGATGATGTGTAGCTATGGCTGCATGCAGATGTATAGCGTCGCACGCAATATTACGTCACTCATGCGCTTGCTGTGTTTCGCGCCCGTGCCATGTCCATTCGAACCCTGACGGGCCCAGCCGGGGGCGAAGGAGAGCCGAACGAGCTAGGAATGAGGGGGCCCGCCCACTCACAGGGCGGCGGGGCTTCTGAGGAGGCCTGCCCCCTCTCACGTGCACTGTGGGCTCGCCACGGACTCGGGATGAGGAGGAGGAGGAGAAGGAGGAGGAGGAGGAGGAGGAGGAGGAGGAGGAGGAGGAGGAGGAGGAGGAGGAGGAGGAGGAGAGGAGGAGGGGGGAGGAGGAGGAGGGGGGGAGGAGGAGGAGGAGGGGGAGGAGGGAGGAGGAGGAGGAGGATGCTGGTTGTGAGCGGCGGTGGACAAATCCCCCTTCCGTGAAGCGGTCGGCCAGCGGCGGAGAGGCGGGCCGAGCCGGACGGAGGCACACCCCAGACGGCTGGACGCTCGCGGGCATGGCGCGGGGGCGCCCCGGCCACGTGCACGTGTGGTACGTAGGAGGAGGAGGAGGAGGAGGAGGAGGAGGAGGAGGAGGAGGAGGAAGGGGAGGAGACGAGGGACGAGGAGGAGACGAGGGACGAGGAGGAGACGAGGGACGAGGACGAGGATGAGGAGGAGGAGAAGGAGGAGGAGGAGGCTCGCGCTGTCAACGTTTCGCTTTCCTAGGGCTTTGCAGCGTCGTCCGCACCTCGCTTCTGCATGTCCGAGCTCCGCGGCTGCCTGCACGCCCTCCTGTGCTCAGCTGCGCTCTTGCTCTCATGGACACTGCTCTGCGCGCAGGCCCGACGAAAGCTTGCGAGGTCCCTTCCAATATGTGACCGCGGGAGAAGGCCTCAGGCGTAGAGAAACTTCGCCAGGAGCAGCGCGCAGGCGGCCTCTGGGCCCCGCAAATCGGTGTACCGGAAGGTGAGCGGCCAGTGCAGGCCTCGGGTGCTGCTGGAGTTGCTCCTGGCAAAGGGTGCCCCCAGCTTTTCGCTCCGTTTTGGAGTCCCTGGCAGGACGAATCGATAGGTCGGATCTGCAATCGAGACGAGTCGAATCGGCGGAGATCGGCAGCCGAGTCGGGAGAAGTCGAATCGGCGGAAATCTGCAGGCGAGCAGGCCTCCACTGAGAAATCGGAGCCCACGTCGGAATCCGAAATCGAGTCGAACCAGAGTCGGAAGACGACGAAGTCGAAGCGGATCGGATCGGAGGAATCGAAAGGAGCCCTGCCCTGGGGCCCTCTGGGCCTCGCGAGGGGTGCCCTGGAAGCCGCGGGGGCCTCCCTGGAAAGTCTGGGGGCGCCCTGGGCCAGGGTTAGGTCGGGCATGTCCGCCTACGGGCGACTTGTGAAGGAAAACAAAACAATTGTCAAAACAATAGAACAAACGAAAAAAAGCGTCCCCTGACTTTATCTTTGCTATCATTGAACCTTCCTCCTGCAGAGGGACACGCCCGAGTTAAAGCCAGGGGCACTTCCAGCAGCGCCCGGGAGGCTGCGGAAGGCGAGGGCAGCGCAGGCGGGACCCGCTGGAGAGGCAGGCAGAGCACCCGCTCGCAGGAGAGCGGCCCCAGGCCGGGCCCCGTGGGCACGGGGCCGCCAAAACTGGGGCCGCGGCGCCCCCTCGAGGACCAAGGCGGGAAAGTTCGCGCCTCCTCCTCCTCCTCCCCCTCCTCCTCCTCCTCCGCCTCCTCCTCCTCCGCCTCCTCCGCCTCCTCCTCCTCCTCCTCCTCCTCCTCCTGCTCCTCCTCCTCCTCCTCCGCCTCCTCCTCCTCTCCCCCCATCGTCATCCTCCTCCCACTCCTCCTCCTCCTCCTTCCTCCTCCTCCTCCTCCTCCTCCTCCTCCTCCTCCTCCTCCGCCCCTCCTCCTCCTCCCCTCGTCATCCTCCTCCCCTTCTCCTCCTCCTCCTCCTCCTCCACCTCCTCCTCCTCCTCCTCCTCCTCCTCCTCCTCCTCCTCCTCCTCCTCCTCCTCCTCCTCCTCCTCTAAGACCAAGACCACAATCAACCCGCATAGTAAGGATGGGCGAACTTCGCAAATGTGCCCTTACATCCTTGCCCCTTCGGCCCATCCTTGGCCACTTTCGTCGGCCAACCTCGTTCGAAGAACGCTAACGTGGCCCTCCGAGGCCCTCGCATCCTTACCGCGCATCCTTATGATACAGCTTGACTGCAAGACGGGGAAGTTCGCTGATCGCCCTGGAATGGTAGAATTTTGGGTACCTCCGATGCGCTTTTACGGGTGGGGGAGGGGCGTGGTCCCCCTTTTGGGCTTACCGGTGATCCCCCCCAGGGTAGTGGGCGACCCCTCTGAGGCTTGTCGGTGGTTATCCTGAGGCCGTCAGTGACCCCCCTGGGGTTCGTCGGTGACCCCCCCCCCAAGGCCTGTCGGTGACCCCGCCATAATGTTTGTCGGCGGGAGGGCGAGGACAAGAGGGTAAAGGTTAATGGACGCTCGAGGACGATCCAGCAATGCAAGGATAAGGAGGAGGAGCGCGGTGAAGTCGTAAAAAGCTTAACGACTTCTGCCGTCCTTCAACTCGCGCTGGAACGGCAACGATTTGCTCAAAAATGCACACATGGCGAGAGATTGCCAGCTATCCACCTGCATCGATCCTTGCCAGGCCCGTTCTCGGCCTGGGATCGCCAGATGCTGGGCCGAGGAGGCAAACACACCGATCCTTGGCCCAGGGTTAGCCTGACCAAGACTGGTTTCGCGGTCCTCCCCCTCCCCCTCCTCCTCCTCCTCCTCATCTTCTTCCTCCTCCTCCTCCTCCTCCTCCTCCTCCTCCTCCTCTTCTTCTTCTTATTCTTCTTCTTAGTATTATTACTATTATTCTTCTTATTACCATTGGTATTATTACTATTATTATTATTCTTATTATTCTTATTATTAGTATTATTCTTATTATTCATATTAATATTATCCTTCTTATTATTCTTACTATTATTACTATGATGATTATTCTTCTTTTTCGTCTTCGTATTGCTATTATTATTATTCCTCTTCCTCCTCCTCCTCCTCCTCATCCTCCTCCGTGTTCTCTTCTTCCTCCTCCTCCTCCTCCTCCTCCTCCTCCGCATCATCATCATCATCATCATCATCATCATCATCATCATCATCATCATCATCATCATCATCATCATCATACTCGCGTCATCCGCCTCCTCCACCTCCTCCTCCTCCTCCTCATCCTCCTCCTCATCATGAGCAGCAGCAAAAACATCATCTTCATCATCAACATCATCGTTTCTCACCTTCCCCCGTGTCATTGTCCTGCTCCGTCTCGGGCTCCTCGTCCTCCTCTTTCCTCCATGTCCTTCTCCCACTCCTTCTCGTATTCCGCCTCTCCCTCCTAATCATCCTCAGCCAGTTCATCCTTCCCCCGTATCCTTGTCCACCTCGCCTCCCCCTCCTCCTTCTACTCATCATCCCTGGCCTGCGCTGGCAGCTGCTGGGCACGGGATTGGATAGCCTCGCCTAATGGTGCCGTGGTGTTCATTTCCATCACACAAAGATCGCCATCATGAGCAACAGCAGCAACAATAAAAGCATCATGAGCATCATCAAACTCCAAATCCCCACCATAGTCCTCGAATGCATCAGATTCATCCTCACCAAAAGCAACGTAATCGTCACCGACGTCATGATCAAAACTGTCGCCATCAGCGTCGTAATCATCAAAGTCGTCATCCGCGGAAGGATCGTCAGCATCACCATCACAATCATCATCATCAGAATCAGCATCATGATCGGCATCATCATCATTATCATCTTCGTCGCCGGTAAGGTCACCATAACTATCATTATCAACAGAATGATCAACAAGGGCACCACCATTCGAATCAGAATGATCACAATCGAGATTGCAACCGTCGTCAATCACAAGCAAATCAGCAGCATAGTCAACACATTCATCAACACCATAATCGCTATCACCATCCTCATAAGCATCGCCTTCACCAGAATCCAAATCATCATTGGCAACATCATCATCGCCACCACAATCACAACCATCATCGCCATCGTCGTCATCATCGGGGTCATCATCACAGTCGCCATCGTCACCATCATACTTCAAATCGCCGTCACCAGAACAGCCATCATCATCTTCACCACAATCGACATCGTCAGCGACTTCGTCATGATCACTCACCATTACCATCATCAGCAACATCGCAATCGCCACCACCATACCCATCAGCATAATCAGAATCGTTTTCATCGTCATCTCGTCATCCACAGAAGCATCATTATTATCTACACCACCACCACCATCCTCATCCTTCTCATCATCATCATCATCATCATCAGCAGCAGCAGCATCATCATCATCATCTCGATCATCATCTCGATCATCATCATCATCATCAGCAGCAGCAGCATCATCATCGGCATCGTCATCTTGTAACACATCGGCAATCTCACCATTGGCGCGGGCGCCTCGGGACCCCAGCAGCGGGTCGGCACCGCGGACGGTCCTGCGTAGGCGCCCAGAGCCGAATCCCGCACTCCGACACGGGCGACCTCGGCACCCAAAAGGGACAGCAATCCAGGCAGGCTCCACAAGGAGAAGGAGGTCGATTCGCCCTCTGAAGCAAGCCCTCTCTCACGCTGAGTCAGGGGCGACTGCTCTCGTACCCTTGTGCAGAAGCAACTCACGCACCCAAGTAGGCCTCCCCGTTGTGGAGACCATAGAATGAAGCTTCGTGTATCGCGTCCTTGCTGGTACCGACCACGCGGCGCACTTTACCTCGAATCGACTGTAAGGTAATCGCTCTGCAAGCCAGAGAAAAGCCTAGGACATCTCGTCAGCCAATAGACGTCGCAGAAAGAATGAAGATCACAAAGAGGGCGGTCGGTCGTTTGTGGCCAATCTCGCTTCATCTCGAACATATCTGCAATATTACGGAACTCTGGTGCTGGGAATCCCCCCATCAGAAAACGTATCTGACCCCGTGACACTCTGAACTAATTAGGGCCTCCCCAAATCCCCGAAGTCGTGATTTTTGCGCAATCCAGAGGGCTTGACCCCAGGACAGGCTGTTCATCCAGAGGCGGTATTGACGGTCCCTGAGGCTCTGCAAAGACCACCGAAGCCAGAAACTGCGAAGAACCTCCCGTCGAGACTTTTTCACGACCCCAAGGGGCCCGGCAATCAGAGCCTACTGACACAGACGGCGATGTCCGCCAAACTCAGCGCGTGAGCGCTGTTGGTGGCCCCCCGGCCACCGTGGCAGCGACGTCGGCGAAGATCGCGGCGCACTCCGCCTGCAGCACGCTTCCGGCCCGGGCGCCGAGAGGGGGCGAGGGAGCCGAGAGCGCAGTCGAAAGGTTGCCACAGGAGCGACGAGGTCAAGAACCTGAGCCCCCTCACCGATGGCGCGGGCCCCAGTGGAGACATCGCAGACGAAGGACACTCCAAGGTGCAGAGCCCAAGCACGAAGTACCTAAGGGTGCCCCATGCAACGCTCTTAACCCTCGTGCCAGCTGCATCCAGTGCACTGCTCAAGGCATCAGCTGCCAGGATTCACATCATGGCGCAGAAGGTACCTGATACACCACCATCATGCCTGGTCAGCAGAGGCCTCCTAGATGGGGTCCGAGCACATGGGGTCGAAAAATCGCGCCGCATCGCCGATATATTGGTGTCGTCGGCGATGCGTCGGCGACGTCGGTGTGGGGAAACACGGTCTGCGCATCGACCCGCATCGTCAATGCATCGGCGATGCGGCGCGATCCTTCGACCCCATCTACTCCGACCCCATCCAGGAGGCCCAGATGGTCAGGGCCATCACTGGGCCCCAGCACGCAGCGTGCACCCTCCTGGCCGAGGACCTCTGCGGACGACGCTGCGCTCGGGGACGGGCCCCAAGAGAGCCCGCCCACCGAGGCTGCTGCCTCTCTGTTAGGGGAAGGAACAGTGACATTAACATAAAATCTCAGATGTCCGCGTGGACTTCTCGGATCGGCGCTGGACCCCCCTCCCCGGCGCGCGGAGCGCGCCAGGGGCGGCGCTGGAGGCACCGCCAGGGGGGCCCAGCGCGGACCCAAGAAATTCGAGCGGACCTCCGAGTTTTTATGTTTACGTCGCTGTTCGGTCTCCCATCTGTGGCTCCCCCTCGGGCGAGCACGATCGCGGAGCGTCGGCTCGCAGGCCGCCCCAGGGGGGGGGGGGGGCTGCGCCCCCCCCGCTGGGGAGCGGCAGGTGCCTCGAGCCGAGCGGTGAGGCCTGGTGCCTGGCCGGGGCCGACGCGCCCCGAGGGGGCCGGCCCGGGGCGGCGAGGGCGGGAGCCGCGTGGCAGGCCGCCGCCCGCCACCTCCGGGCACCCCCACGGCTCCCGGGGGCGGCGAAGGGCGGCTTCGAGGGGAACGAGGAATGGCATGAACATCAAAACTCGGAGGTCCGACTTCTTCATGTTTGTGTGATTTTTCGCTTCCCTGGGCTTGTCGCTCATGGACGAAGGCGGCCCCCTTTTGGCGAAGCCATCCTGGAGTGGGGCGCCGGAGAGGGCACATGTAGCGCGGAGGGGCGGGGGCAGATCGTGGAGGAGGCCGCGCAGTCTCCAGGCAGACTTCGCGTGGCCAGTTGGCCAGCTCGGATGTCCTGCCGAGCCTACATGTCGATTGGGAGACCACTCGCTGGACGAAGCACGGCCTCTCACAAAAAAAAACAACACATGTGTGTGGCCCGCACCTCAGCTGGATTAGATGTGCGGCGGGTGCGGTGTGTACTTGTGATACCTGTCTGTTGTTATGTGCCTCTGTCCCGTCTGTCGGCCTGCCTGCCCGCCTGCCTGGCTCCAGCATGTCTGCCTGCCAACGTGTCTGCGCGACTGTGTCAACGTGTGCGTCCATCGGTCTGCCCGGGCGAAAACGTGAAGATAATATGTACATACAGTGTCCGCACCTCCTCGTGTATTTCCTTTCTGTTCGTCCATGCTTCGCGCCCATGACTGCATGCGCGCACACGTGTGCATGTGCGTGAGCGGTAGCCTTGGTGCTTGTGTGCATATGCGTGTGCGCTCGAAATCATATTCGTGCCGCAGGCAACGCTGTACCGCATGGACGCCAGCGCAACGGGCAGCCGACACCAAGTGTGTGCGCGAGTGCGTCTGCGAGCAAGCCCTCATACATGCGTCAACTTGTGGGCCTCGACAAAATGTAGCGCCTCTTCTATTATCAAAGCCAGCCAGGAATCCCTCCCGCTTGCCAAGGAAAAGGCAGGAGGGCCCGCAGCCACTCCAGCGCCTCTAGCGCCTCTTCCCGCGTCGCCTAGGCGCGCTGCAACATGGAAAATAATGCTGGGCGTGGAGACGCTGAGGGGATGACTGGTCCAACTAATATGATACATTGCATCCTCGCTAAGCAAACACGGCCAGCACCACAAAACGACATAGACAACCCTGAGACCTGCTGACTCCAACGCTTCAGAGCGCTGGAAAAATTAGCGTCTTGGCCCATATCAGTTGACGAGTCAAGCTCTGCCCATGACAAAGCCTCTTTGAGTCCCCCCTTTGCCTCGAAAAGCCCGCCAACCACTCGGACAAGCCAACCATACTCCCATGATCTATCGCCTCAGCCTGCCTCGTGGCCCTCAACGGATGAGATATCGACGACTGGCGCGGTGGTATTCACAATCGGATCAATGTTGTGGCAAAGACCAATCAGAATTCCATGGAACTGGCCCACCACTCTGGAAGAGCTCCACGATGCACGCAGCATACGATCAAGAAGCCCCGTATCTGGCAGGCACGCCCCAGATGCTTGGCGTGGTGGCACGTCGCGTGCAACACACTGGAGTCCGACCCTCCCCCCTCCCACCCAGGGGAGAGCGGGCAGAGGAGGAAGACGAGGCGGAGAAGGGGGGAGAGGGAGGGGGGAAGGGGGAGGAGGGGGATGGGGGTGAGGGGAGGAGGAGGAGGAGGAGGAGGAGGAAGGGAAGGAGGAGGAGGAGGAGGAGGAGGAGGAGGAGGAGGGTGAAGTGGAGGAGGAGGAGGAGGAGAAGGAGGGGGAGGAGAGAGAGGAGGTACTTTCGAGTCTCTGGAGGTCTGAAGTTGTCGGCGAGACCCAGAGATCTGATGTCTTGATTTTCTCCGTAATGACACCCCCGACGCAAGTCCCGACCCTTTACACGGGAGCCGTAAGTCCAGAACAGTCTCTCGACGGCCCGGGGGCCCTTGGAAGGCCCCTGGAAGCGGCGAGCCCGAAGCCTGCCATTTCTTCACGACGCAAGGGAGGCCTCGACCTGGTGCCACGAGTCACTTCCCGGATCCAGCCCGGCGTGCTTCCTGGCCAGACTACCGATGCGGACCCAGCCATGGCGACCCGGGCGCCCAGCGAGGGCCCTCGGGGGCCGGAGGCAGCCACCAGCCTTCCGTCGGGATCTCTTCACGACGCGAGGGAGTCTGGGGCCTGGGCCTGCGGGTCCAAATCGACCCCCCAAATCCATCCCGCGGCACGTCCTGGCCAGAATCTCGAGGCGGATCCAGCCGTGACGGCGGGGGCGATGGGCGAGGGCCCCCCAGATGCCGAAGACAGCCGGGAGGTTTCCACGACGCGAGGGGGTCTGGGGGCAGCGAGCCCGTGACCCAAGGAGGAAGAAGAAGAAGAAGATGAGGAGGCAATTGTAGAACAACGACGACGACGACGACGACGACGACGACGACGACGACGACGAATAGGACGACGACGACGGTCGACCCTACCTGCGGCCGCTTCTGGCTGCACCAGCCTGAGGTCAAGGAGGAAGAGGAGGAGCAGCAGCAACAGCAGCAGCAGGAGGAGGAGCAGCAGTAGGAAATTTGGGACGCTCCAGCCACGTAGCTGAAGTCAGACCAGCGTAAAAAAGAGCAGGAGAAGCAGCAGCAGAAGAAAGAGGAGCAGCAGCAGTAGCAGCAGGAGCCGCAGCGGAAGAGCAGCAGCAGCAGCAGGACAAAGAGAGATCCCCAAACGCGGGAGAGGGAGGGGGAGGCGGGAGGGACGATGAGGGGGAGGGAAGGGAGGATGAGGAGGAGGAGGAGGAGGAGGAGGAGGAGAAGGAGGAAAGAGGAGGAGGGACGGGGGAGGGGGACGGGGAGGGGGAGGGGAGGGAGGAGGAGGAGGAGGAGGAGGGAGGAGGAGGAGGAGGAGGAGAGGAGGAGGAGAGGAGGAGGAGAGGAAAGGAGGAGGAGGAGGAGAGGAGGAGGGAGGAGGGGAGGAGGAGAAGGAAAAGAAGGAGGAGGAAAAGAATGAGGAGAAGAAAGAGGAGGAAAAGAGGGAAGAGGAGAAGAAGGAGGAGCCCCCCTGCGACTGCGCTGCAGGAGCCCCCCGCCCCGACGACGTCCCAGGGAAGCCAAAAGCAGGCGCGCGCGCGCGCCGCTCCGCCCCGGAGCGCCCCGAGGCGGCCTTAGCGCGCCGCGGCCAGGCGAGCCACAGCGCCAGGCCCACCGCCGCCGTGGACCTCGGAGGCGCCGCGACGCTGCGCCGGTCCTTCGGCCTCCCTCCATCCACCATCCTTCTCGCTCCTCCTCGCTCCTCCTCGCTCCTCTGCCTCCTCCTCCTTTTCCTCCTCCTCCTCCTCCACCTCCACCTCCTCCTCCTCCTCCTCCTCCTCCTCCTCCTCCTCCTCATCATCATCATCATCATCATCATCATCATCATCATCATCATCATCATCATCATCATCATCAACACAATCACCATACATCAATCATCAAACACATCATCATCATCTCATCAAACATCATCATCATCATCAACATCATCAACAACCTCATTCCCATCCCCTCATCCTCCACCACCTCCTCAACATATCATCATCCTCATAAACATCCTCATACTCAACCTCATCCTCAACATCATCATCAACATCATCAACATCAAACATCAAAATCAAACGTTCACATCAACATAACATCAATCATAACGAGATCAACCATCCGCCTCCTCCGTCCACGTGCCTCTTATCCTATCCTCCTACGCCGCTTTTCTCTTCTTCAAACCATCCTCAACGCACCTCCCCCACCTCGCAGTTCCCGCTTCTCCGTCCTTCGATGGGTAACCCCATCCGTGTCGCACTCAAGGAATGTCGGGAGAGCGGGTTGGGCGTTTCTCCCGGCATTTCTCCACCCAGGTACGATCCTGCAGCTTGAAACTGGCAACAGCTTCAAGGATAGAGCAAAGGTCGTTTTAAGAATGCATCTCTCGCATCAGCGCCGCGCACATGCGCATCATGGTGAAACAATATACTTGAGGACAGAAGGCCATGGTTTTCACAATCTGGCTCTTGCCCTAGCGCCGCGCACACTCGTATCCAAATACGTAACAGCTTCAGACATGGAGGGAGGTGGCTTTCGAGTGGCTCCCGCCACAGCGACGCACCCATTCGCCTTAATAGCAAGCAACAACTCCAAAGATTAAGGGCGGGAGGTTTTCAAATTGTGGCTCTCGCGCACATTCGGTTTAAAAGTGTGCAACGACTTCATGTATGGAGGGGAGTCACTTGCAAGAGCGGGCTTTCGCCGTAGCGCCACGCACATTCGTCCTAAATGTAGCAACACCTCCAAGGACGGAGAGCGGCTCCTTTTACTCAAAATGTATATCTCACCTTAGCGCCGCGCACAGCTGTTAAAAGCCAATGGAGTAGTTCGCAACATGTCGCCCTCACCCTGGCGCCGCGCACGTTCGTCTGAACAGGTTGCAACAGCTTCGCAGATGGAAGGATCTCGCTTGAACAATGGGGTTTTTGCCTTGGCGCCGCCTGCATATTCTTACGCTTGCAACAATTACGTAAGATGGAAGACTGTTTTTACAACTGGACTCGGCATTAGAGTAGCGCACGTCCGTCATAACAAATGCAACACATTCAAGGATAGACAAAGGCTCCTTGTCAAAACTCGGCATTCGCCCGGGCGCCGCGCGCATTCGTCTTGAAAGTTTGCAGCTGCTTCAAAGATAGGGAAAATAGTGTTCAACACGTCGCCGTCGCCCTAGCGCCACGCACATTCGTCTTGAAAGCTCGCAACAGATTCACACATGGAAGGGGGCGTTTGGAAATGCGATTATCGTCTTAGCGAGGCGCGCATGTTCAAACGGTCGCAACAAATACCAAGATAGAGGGCTGTTTAAAGCAATTGGGGCCCCACATTAGAATCACTCACATGAGTGAACAGGATCGTACGTTACATGGATGGACCACTCATCGTGTTCAACAGTGGGCGCTCGTCGTAGCGCCGCGCAGATTCGCCTTAACAGCTTGCAACATCTAGAAGAGTGGAGCATGGTTCATGTTCACAATGAGGATATTGCTTGAGACGCCCCTAAACTCAAAGGCCACGAACTTCAAAAAATGTAGACTACACGGATCCAGGGTGGTCAGTTTGCAAAACGGTGCTCTCGCTTGAGACTCCCTCGAAGGTCATGGCGAGAAATGTGACAAAGTGTGCCACACCTGCACGGATTGGGGTCGGCCCTTCTTTTCGGCAGGGTGGGTATCGTTGGACATCTCGCTGAACGGTATGGTCTTGATGTCTCGCACCCCTGACTGCGGGCCAGAAGGATGCAAAGCAGTGCCCTTTCAAAACGGGGCCCTCGCCAAACTGGCAGGCCCACATTGGGATGGTAGTCCAGGGGGGCGCGTCTTGCAGTTCGAAGGACAACATGCAGGGACTAATGAGGTGTCTTGGGACGGACGGGTGTACTGCGGCATCGTCACTGCATTGCATGTTGGGTCTACTCTGGTCCTCCTCCACCTTGTTATCCTGCTCCTCCTGCACCTCCTCCTCCTCCTCCTCGTCCTCCTCCTCCGCTTCGTCCACCCTCTCCTCCGCCTCCTCCTCCTCCACCTCCTCCCCCGTCCTCCTCCTCCTCAACGCTCCTCCTCGCTCCCCGATGTGTTTGTTCCTCGCTCATCCTCTTCCTCCCTCTCCTCCTCCTCCTCCTCCTCCTCCTCATCATCATCATCATCATCCTCCTCCTCCTCCTCATCCTCCTCCTCCTCTTCCTCATATTCCTCCTCCTCCTCCTCCTCCTATTCCTCCTCCTCCTCCGCCGCATCGCTCAGCCTCCTCATCGCTCCTCCTCCCCCTCCTCCTCCTTCTCCTCCCGTCCGCCTCCTCCACCTCGCGTCGCCTGTTCCCCCCCACGGTCCTCGTTCCTCGCTGGACACCGCCTGTTTCCTCCTCTCCCTCCTCTCCTCCCCACCTCCTCCTCCTCCCACCTCCTCCTCTCATCTCATCTTCGGCCCTCAACACCTCGTCCAATTCGATACGATTCCCTTCTCCTCCACCTCCTCC